TGATTGGCTTGCACGTAGGCTGCCGCTAAACTTTCGCTGCTTGAGGAATTGTCTGTGCCGGGACAGGTGGTGTTTATGCAGATGAATGAACACATTACTGTGTGCTCTTCCTTTTGGTTTAAACATTAGCTTTTCAAATGTGACAAATCAGATGTTCATCTCTTGCTATACACAGCCACTGTGTGTGTTGCTTGGAGACCTTTGTCTATGAATCCCCCAAGGTGACGATGTGCACATCCATAAAGTGTGGAGGACATATTCACACTCATAATCTGACTTATTCAGGCAATTCGCTTTGAATTCCTATATTCAGGTATGACAGTAACACCTCAGAGTTTTAGTTAGTATTGTACATACTTGATAACACATCCAAAGCTCAGTGTATTGTAATCTTAACTACAGGCTAGCTTTACAGTATTTGGCATCTAGAATGAACAAGCTGAAATGTAATTTTTAGATGGCAGCTGAGCAAAGACTTAGCTGCTGGCTCTTAAATGGGTACTGAAATGTCATGCAATTATCTTCCTATTATCAGACATATGTTCTGTTATAATTAGGTCTCTTGCCAGTCAATCCAGAGTAGTATATAGCTGCCAGTGAACAGCAGATTCTAATATTGCATCTTCCATACATGCTGAAATACCTAATGGTAACAGAACCACTGCTGTCTATGTAAAAATCACTTGTGGTATTTATTGACTGAAGCGAAGGACCTAATTATTATCATATCATTAATGATTACTCTGACTGGTGATTGATAATGATCATCGAAAAGAAATATAGCTAAAACAAAGGGTGGAAGATTTTTTAAACCCATGTCTTTTCATGCATTTTCTTTTGTACTATAAAGTGAAGAATCTCCTGCTAAAGAATTGTTGTTGTTTTTTTACTTAAGTAGGGATACATTTAAGTATTCACAATAATCATGTGTTAAAATGAAAAAAAAGTTATAATTTTTCATTCAGTTACTCTTTTCTTCATTTTCAGTTCAGTCCTTGTACCAGCTTTTTTTTGTTTGTTGAGATAATTTTGATATAAATCAGGCTCCCAATTCAAAGATTGAACAATTTTGTTGGATACAGATGATTAAAAAAAGAAACACGCTTTCCCTGCAATACATATTTTTAAAATTAGGGCTTGCTTTTATTTGGTGGAATTTTTTCCAAATATTGACTGTTTTCTGTGCAGGAACGGATTAAAGGCCCTGCCTGATGAGAACTAACAAATTAGACTGGACAATTATAGACTAAGGCTGTGACTTCATGAAATGTTTGCTCCACTTGCAGTGAGCTTCTTTGTTTCTGCAACACTTTGTACTTTGGGTAAGACACTAAAGTCCCTATTGTCTGAATCAACTTGACCTGACCTAGCTGGTTAAGCTAAGGCATTGTAAGCAGCAAATCACTTCAACTAGGGGTAACAGCTTTGTGTGGCTATGGAGAAAATAACTATATAAAAAGCCTTTTCCCATATTCAGTGCAGAGAAAGCCAGTTTGTACCATGGAAAAACGGGTTTTTTCCAGTTATAAGGATAAAACACCCCTGATTTTTTTGTCTTCCCAACCAATTTTAATATGTACATGCTTAATATTTATACATTTTCTGCTATAGAGTCATTCTAATATTTGTAGGATATGACAGTTGGGAAATATGTGCTTAGCTGTAATCAACAACATATATTTCGGCCTGAAGCCTGCCGCGATAAAGCAGTGAGAGGGCCAGACAGCACTTAACACAACCTCCTAATCACATCTCACTGCTCGGCAGGCCTGTGCTTGCACGTTGCAGGTACTTGTAAACTCCTGTGAGTCCTTCTCTTTGCACCCTACACTGCTCTCAACATCACTCTTTGTTGAGCTGATGGGGCGACGGCCTTAATTTAAAATGTAATTAACTGCGGCATAACACAACCTCAAGCGAGCGCTCACTGCTTATTCTCGGGATTCAAAACAAAAACAAACAATGCAATGGAAATGAGGTTAACAGCATCACACTCGTTTTGCTATACTGTTAAATCAGATCCGACTCTAGTCCTGTTGAGACAAGATTCCATCTTGTGCTGTAATAAACAGTTCGCTGCAACAGCCATCATACTTCATGTCACGTTTTCTCAGCTGCAGTTAAATTATTCAGTTGTGTTAGCTTGATTCTACTGTATCATACAGCTGGTCTTTGTAAGATTAGAATTGACAGAGATGAATTACAATAAATTATAATTCTTTAATTAGAAAGGAATAACCTGTCCTCATGGGATGACTTGGCTCCAGTCATGGCTTTGTGTCCTGATATACACAAAACGGTAAAAAAAAAAACCTCATCAAATGATGAATTAACTGGTGGTTGAACTATACCAGTCCAAACTTGTATGATTGTCTGAACTGGGCACAGCTTTTGTTTGTGGTCTCCCACTGATGACCGAGTGAACACAGAAGGGGAGCAGCTTTTCTCCCAATGGGCCAACTGCTACCTGTTAATTTCCTACTGGACCTCACTTCTAGACACCTTCTTGTCTCTAATAATCACAGTGTTACTTACAGTTCTTTCAGCAGTGACCATCCTACCAGACAAAATCTGCGATGAGCAATATCACTAATTGCTCCATTAAATCAACAATAATGTATCTTGAGAAGATTATTTTTAAAACAACTTGACTTGCTAATTATTATTAAGCTCAAGCTTTCTGTTCTTTCATCATTTGCTCGCTTTCCTGCTGTCTTGCTCGTACTGTGCGGTGACGAGCACATTTTATTCCAGCACAAGTATTCCAGCTATCGCTAATTATCCAAAGAGCTCCTCATTAGGCTATTTCAAATCCAACCTTAGATCAACACTTACTCAGACCTTTGGGATCCTTGATTCCCAGCAGCAGTTAAACAAACAATCAGTTCAAAGGATCAGGTATTCTACTTTAGGAGAAAGACAAAGCCATGGGTAAACAACTGCTCATTTGAAAATAACAGATTCCAGCAGCTTACTGGCATGGTTGCCTTGAACCATATGTCATTTTTCTTCAAATCATTGAGCTTCATTGTAAATTCAACTCATTAAGATATGAAAAGGTTTGAATTCAAGAGTGTTATCTACATCTAGGGTGAACCTGGATCTTTTATTTAATACTGCTGCCTTGTGTTAAGGCTGTCACAATCATCACTATAATCAACAGTGGGTTATACTAATGAGAGAAGGGTTACTTCTTATGGATCTGTCCAGAAGTTGTGGTTCAGTTTAATCTCACATTAAAGAGTAACATAAAAATGTAAGGCAACTGTTTTGTTTAACAATTTTGTAAGAGATAATCTTACTTAATGCAGATGCAAAACTTGAATTAAAAAAATAATGTGTTCCATCAGTTCTTAACGTAATAAGAAAGGGAAGAATTGTGCATTTGAAAAACCTCTTATTAGCCTTTGTTTCACATTACAAAAGTACATACAAACACCACTACTATAAATTGGCAATAATCTAAGTATTGTAAGTCCCAATATTCAGTCATTTGGATTGGTTTCTCAGCCTTCTTCTTCTTGCAATGTGCTCTGTGAAACACCAACAAAATCTGAGCCTGTCACTTAAAATATAATGCTGTCAGATCTGTTACTTTAACCTTGAAGCAATTAGCTGTTGCTAAGCCATAATGAATCCTGACATCACTCCCCTGTGATGAAACCTCTAATTGCTCAGTAAAAATGGAAGCTTTTGACATCACTGCTGACAGACTTTTTTCTTTTTGCTTGTGCGGTCGCATGTGACGGCGCCTGGTAGAATCTTGAAAGGTAGCGGAGCTTCTCTGCCATCAGCTGTCCTGTCACTTGACAAGAAAAGAAAGAGAAACTGGCTGGATTTGCTGAAATGATGAGGCCATTTAAACCATGATATGTCGCAACTATATGGCATCATTCAACCAGGACTGCTGCCTATGTCCCTGTTCGTTGAGACTCCACTGTGAGGTGGGTGTTTATAAGAATGATGAGTGGAGGGCTCACAGCCTCAGTATTAACAGACTTGTTCACTCTGTGCTCTTTCCAACTAAACTGAAGCAGCATTAACAGTAAAAGAAAGCTATAACAATATTTATCTAAAATAATTTCCCATCACTATTTTTTGTATCACAGTAGAGATATAAGAGCTGATGTGTTGCTACAATCTGACTCAAAACCAAGTTCTAATTTATGAGTTGCCAATGTTGGGAATGATGGATTAGGGCCCTTCAACATCCTGCTCTGATTTATGCACAGAAGAGAAATATCATGAATAAACCAGAGATTCAAAGGAAATAGTAAGGAATTTGAGAATTCAGTTTAAAATATTGAATAAAACAATAACTCAAATGACAGTTTTTGCTTTTGTGATTAAAACTAGCTGCTTAAAAGATACATAGACAGATATCAATAATAATCTTTTCAATAAATAGAACAAAGTTTAAAGTGTACTATGTCTATTATTGTACAGACCGATGCCTTGGAATAACTTTTCTTGTGGCCCATAATCATCATTAACATTTATCAATATTGAATAGAGAACCATCACTAGAACTGTGATTTGTTCTTTATTGCAGACGTTTTTTTCTTTTATGTCTTGGATCACTCTATTGACAGTAACATAGACCTAAATTCTCTGTTTAATACTGCAAGTGATTGGGGAAATGGTCAAAGGCGAGAACATCTCTCAGGTTTTATTTTGTTTGTTTTCTCATCAGTCCAAGGACACATTGCACACAAACGTCGGAATAATGCTTCTAATGTCTGTTAACCAGTCTAAGTTGTTTGAGCCTAACGATGGGATCTATTGTAAAGTGACATTTTGCAGGGCATTGATTTCTAATGCAGCCTCCTTGACCAAGCCATAATAAGCAAGCCACTGACCACTGAAACTATAAAAATGTAGGAGTTGCATTGGAGAAGTTAGCAGGATGATCCCCCAACACGCACAGGTTGTGTATGTGTGTGCGTGTTAGTGTTCCCACCACCACCACATTTTTCTTTCCTTTTTTATTTTGTGGTCAGGTTGAGGGTAAATTTGTGCTTAGTGAGTGAAGTAGTAGATGTGATAACGAGAGGCCAAAGAGAGCAAGTGTTACCTCATTATTATAATGAAAAAAGATATCCCACCATTACATCAGTTGGAAAAAGTGGTAATTAAAGTGCCCAACGAGGTTCCTCGAGGCAAACAGGAGGAAGAAAACGACTCTCTGAAGCCCATCTGTTCTGGATAATATGCGCAATGTTAGAGAAAGGCCTAATCCGATTTAATTCTGCTGACATTTTTTTCTACCAGAGATTGTGTTTTCTCAAGAATTTCTCATCCTCCCCAGAAATTCCGCTTTTCCACAGCGGCGTCCTCAGAATATTGAAAATGTGTCTTCTTGCTAAACAATATAGAAGTCCGGGAAAATGTTATGTTTTAGTAATGTCGCGAATTTGTCTCTCATAAACTCATATGAGCACAAATTATTCATTAGGTTCTATAATTATGTTCATAATGGCACTGACTAAAAAAAAAAACAATATTAGGCTATACTACCAGTCTCGTGCCGCATTGTTCTTTACATCACCGCATAAATTTTAAACTAAAAGACCGAGATGTAAATACTAAATAACTGGCTGTCTCAGTATCAGAAATTACTACGTTACATGAACAGTTAATTATTTAGTGCTGCTGTATGACTTACTTCTTATAATGACTAAATAAATAATGCCGTAGAAGTCAAGCATATGAACCACATGCGTCAACATTAAAGGATACTGGAGTAATGGGCAAAATCTGCTGGGTCAATACCATAGGCTAATATTCTTCCTCTATATAGGCTCGAGAAGTTTTGCAATCAGTTTTGCAGGACTTCAAACGTAGCTATTCATGATCCAACATCAAAAAAGCATCTTGTTGAAAATGCTTCTTAATCCGATTGTCCACAAAAAACTATACCCAAAATACCTAATAAGAGACCATTCCGCAAACGATTCTGATTGTGAGTTTAGACACTCAGGAAATCAAGGCGCGGTATCTGTGGTCCGAAGGCTCGTGCCAGTGACAGTTTCGGTTGTGCCTTTTTAATTTGTTAACTTTTCGTGCCGCTCATCGATTCAATTGGTCAGTGCTGGAAGTAAAAGCAGCAGCTTTTCATTTGACTTGACAGAGTGATTGCAGACACATGTATTTAAAGTAGTTATTAAACAGGAGTTTAATTTAAGTTTCCAATGGCAAATTGACGGTGTACTCGGGCCTGTTCGTGGAATTGTGTCATTGGCGGGTCCTTGCGTTAAACATTGGCAAACGTGTGACATTTTCCCTTTTTTTTTTAGCAAATATCTAACAATTTTCTCCGCTAAAACTAAAATGTTTTAAGGTTTAGGTGTCTATAGCTGTTCAATTAGGTTTTTACGAAAACTTCGTTTTGAATTCCAGTGGAGGTAAATTTAAATAAGTCTAAAAAAAATCAAAATATAAAAATAAGTAATCCTAAACACACTAACCCTGAGGCGCTAATTCACATCAAGCCCCTTTTGCTGAATTCTCTAGGGTGCACGCTCTAAAGAGGCTAAAATTTATTTTCACATTTGACGCAAGGTCTATGTATTGTTTTTTCTAAATGTTGAAAGCACTTAAGTGTGATGTATGTGACTGATGCCAAACAAATTATTATCTCTCCCCCAGAAACTTTGTGAAACAAGTTCACTATAATTGAGGAGGAGAAGATTATCGTCAAATCAACACACACCCCTCCCGCACCACCACCACCACTCTTGCAGACGTCTTGTCTTGACCCTCCTGAACTGATCGCTCACGCTGAGAATTTCAGGCTTATTGTCTGCTGCTCTCCCAGGGAACAGCTGCTAAGCCCAGGCCGCATTCCCAGTGTACCGGACTCATCAAAACCATTCAGCTCCACTACCACTCAGCTGCTGTGCATCCATGTGCACAAGCGCTGCTAAATGTAAATGTAAAAGCGTGGAAAGTGACCTCCACTGCTAGTTCGGCATTGTCCAGTTTAAAGACCATGTGCTCCAGTAACAAATCACCAGCGATTGTTGCAATAAAACCATGTCTTCAAAATATTAAGACGTAAAAGGCTGAGATTATGTTGTTCTTTGGCGAAAAGAAGAATGATTTCAGATCAAATATAGTAATGTCAAAAATGTGATACAACTGTAACTGCGAAGTATGATCATGATATCGTGGGGGCTCAGTTAGGACTGCAAGAGAATGGTGTAGGTTTTATTTCTTGTGAGTTTGAATTTGGACTTGTGTTTCAATTGAAGCATCTGAAGTTCAATTTGTATCATTACTTCTTTATTCATTCAGTTCTCCATCTAATAAACTTTATAAGTTTATTTGCTAATGTAAGTGTATTTGTACAAAAGACAAACAAACAAACAATCAGACATGAGCTGTCCTTTGCGGTCTGTCTGGGCCCGGACAAAATGTCTTTCGTTCCGGGTCTGGGCTCTCCGGGCCTATATTAAATACCTCCTTTAGCTCTCTCTGTAAAACGTCTTTAACGTGTCTTTTTCTTTCTTTTTCAAGGGTGAGTAAAAGTCCTGCGGTGTGCATCCGACTGCAGCTACTCACATCACGTGTTCAATCGGGACTCTGGTCTCTTTTACCGCGGATGCGGTGTGCCGGGCATAGGGTTTGACAGGGGGTTTAGTGCTGGTTGCCCTCCCGGCCCAAGGCCATGAATGAGCACCCTCGGGACAAGAGGTCTCTGGAGGCTGGGGTGCGGCGTGGAGGGAGTCCGGTACATGCTGCTGTACATGGCCGCGGCTGCCGCAGCCGCCGTCGTGCTGTCAACGGTACCGAGCAGGCTCGGATGGTAGAAATAGGGCGATGGGAACATTCTCTGTAAGGCCGAGTAGTTTCCTGCTTCAGCCAGCAGCTCCAAACCGACCGCTGTTTGCCTCTTCCACTTCGTTCTGAAAATCATATAAAAATACAATAAATGAATTATTCACTTTTATCGAGTCCCTGATCGCCACTCTAATGTAAGCAGAAGTCTAATTAGTGCAGCCATGGTGAGTGGAAGAGGTTTAATCTGTCTACTGAAAAGGTTTTTATGCATTGTTCCAATTATCAATGACAATTTTCAAACATGTTAAAATCATAGCCTTGGCTATTACATGTCCTTCAAAATGTTATATCTAAATAGTTGCAGTATAGGATTGTTTTTCAATTATAAGCACAACATTAACTGGACAGATTTGAATGTGGAACCACTAAAGGCCGATGTAGAGGCATAATATGTACAACCTCAAAAGGTAAAGAAATGCATTGATCAGTCATATTTACTTTATTCATGCTGTAATATGATATATATCATGATATTTTTATTTGATTAATTAATCATTGGCAGTTTATTTTTTCTTTAAAAAAAATATTTAAATGACACATAGGTTATCATCCTGTAAATGTTCTGCAGTGGCAGTGGGCAATTAAAGATGTTTAATTGAATGCCTTCTTTGTATGCGCGAATGAAAATGTATCTTTGCAAATCAAAGGTGTTTTCGAGGAATCAATCAGTGAAAATGCGGGTTTTTACATAACTGTGTTTTCCTGTCCATCCACTTTGACTTGTCGGGGTAGATGAAGCAATGAAAAGCACCAACGTATAGACCTACATATAACTAAATGTTTAAGTTGCTGCCACAGAAAAAGAAATACCGATGAACGCGAGAAAACTTAATTTAATGTGATGTCTTAATAGTTCATGTACATCTACTTTAATTTAACACAACAATGTGTCGTCCTGTTATTTAACCTGAAGTTAGATAATAATAATGATAGGTATCATATTATTTAAAAAACACATATTTGTTGCACTTGTTAACACGAATGATGATTGCTTACCGTCTGTTTTGGTACCAGGTCTTCACTTGTGTGTCTGTCAGATTGAGAGCCGCTGCCAGGTCCATGCGGTCCTGAACACTGAGGTATTTTTGACGCTCAAAACTCCTCTCCAGCTGGTTGAGCTGGTGGTCCGTAAAGGCTGTCCGTGCTTTGCGAGGTTTTTTCGTGCGCACCGGTGGACTGTCTCTGCTACTGGAGATTTCACGGTCACCTTCCTCTTTAGTTCCTACACGGGGAGCGAGGTGAAAAAAACTGTTGTTATGAAACCATACACGGAGAATCCTTCGAACTGCTAAACAGCATTTCGCTCTTTCAGTCATCTTTTTAAAGTTAGCGAGCAAAAAATGACCATATGTTTTATGACCCAGTCTAACTTCCAGCATCCTCGTGCCAAATCTCTTTTGGCACAGCAGATCAAGAGAAAGGAAATAAACTAGTATTTGGCACCTGAAGTTTTTTTTTTACCCTTTTAGAAAACGAGACATCAATATGTCAATCCATCTCTATTTGTAGCTGTTTTTCAGTACGCCATGATCCCCCTCTAGGAAGAACAATAATCTCTCTAATTGACCCACTAGGGAGGCCCCGCGCAGGGGGAAAATCACCAGGCTTACATCTGTTTTCACATCAATTACACTAATAAAGGAGGCTAAGAGTAAGACAAAGAATTTGC